TCATGAATATTCAATTCCTGGTGCTTACTTTGAATTTTAATGCAAATGTATTATCTATTTGGCTACATGGTCATACAAGTAGGCCTAGTTGGCAATCAAATCTTCAATAGTTTGGCTAACTATCTTAAAAGTGTTTACTTCTGGTATAACTTTATACATGTCTTTTTTTGTCAGTAGCAGAATAGTTACCTTAGTAATCTAGTGCATTACTATTTATGTTTTCAGTATGTATTCATTTGTTCTGTTTTTATTTGATATTTATAATTATTTAAAATACAATAATATTTTCAGTTGATAATATGTTGGAATATTTTGATAATTGTAACTTTTATGTATCTGTATTTGCTTATTAAAGGTAAAGGTAGAAGAATAACCATAACTTGCAGCTTCATGGTGATTAATTGTGTATGGGCGTGGTCCGTGACTATTCTACAAACCGAACCCTGGGAAGGAGCGGCTGCCTTACTGCTCGGCCACTCGACTTGCCAAATTTTGTATGGTTCGAACCTCTCCTGGTGAGAGTGTTCCTCTATAAATCTTACATCTTCAGTTATGCCTCTTATTATTGTACCTGTTACAAAAATAATTAAAACTTCATTTGGAAAAAAAAAATTGAAGTACTAGAAAAATAAAAAAGGCAATTTAAAACAAAATGAGAAAAAAAAGTTCAGATATTTGCTGCTGTTTTTTTCTTTTCGATCCTTAAGCTTTCTCTGATTTTTATTTGATCCTTCTTCAGAAATAATTGCAACTGTCACTTTCTGAACAATGTGATTGAAAGTGAAAGCTCACAATCTATACAGGTTAAACTTTGAGGAAAAAATTATTTAATCTATTCTACAAGAGACAAAAATGGTATGCAAACTTCACTGCTAATATTAAACTAAATAAGCTTCAGTATTAATGATTATTAGAACAATCTAACAAATTAGATTTATAATACATATTAGTTCTCCTTTGCAATTAATGTTTGCCTTTGGTTAGTCTCCCAAATCAATTCTTTTCACATTACCTGGTGCATACATCAAGGACCCTGAAGCTTTATAACGAATACTTTTAAAACTGGAACCTGTAAAATTCACATATATCATAAGAAGCCAACAATATAACATACAGTAACAACACTAACAACATCAATAACATTAACAACAATAATAATTATAATAGTGATCAATAGTATTAATTAATATTTAGGACAAAACAATTTTCTTGGAACACATATTTGTCATGGAACAAACTGATAGTGTCAAACCTAAAAGTTTTGCCTGGTTTGTATTATTTGAGAAAGACCTCTAGATTTCTATCACATGACCAACAATCCCTTAAAATTGTCTAATGAAGAACCTGTATCTATGTATAAGATTTTTCACAACTTTTTCTTTTTTTTAAATTTTCTTATCTGCCTAGATGCTTTGGGCAAAACCTTATTGCTGAAAAAGAAAACAAATTTTTTTTCTTATTTTTTCCTACCCTCCTCTGACTGATTAAGTTTGTTAAACAAGTATAATAAAAGTTTTGCCTAATAGGTATTTATAGATAATTACTCTTTTCCTCTACAGTGGGGTCAAGTTACAGATTATAAATAGGAATCTGGGGATCCTTTATAAAAAAGACGAAGCCTATGGCCTTCTACATGCTATAAACAATTATTCCTCAAATGGATATTATTATTTTTTCATTAACCTTTATATCTATTTTTCATCCAACTGTCCATAGGACAAATTTTCTCGGCTGTCACCCTACTCGGCACCACCGTGGATAGAAACAAATTGTCCACAACCTCCCAAGAGCATTTTCCTTTGTTTGATAAATGACTCTTATTTAGATCTACAGAGTTATACTTTACCTATTTCAATAAATAAAGAAACAGAAAGCACAACATATTAAAAGGTTTACTAAAGCAAGGTAAACATGTTTCTCTAATTTATGATCAGTCTTGCTTATGATAATGGCAGGTATGTTTGGATGCGATAATGATGTCATGCATGTACAGATGTGGCAATGAAGAACTCCGTAAATGTTAAAATGTTACATGATGAAAAAAACATAAATTTTCTCAAAAACATGCAAGACTGCTTTAAAGAATCTACACTGTGAGAACCGTTACATTGAACAAGTCACAACAATGAATAAAACGATGAACACAAAAACATTCGCTGTTAGAACAAAAGAGAGACTTACTTTCAGAGGGCGCACGAGATGCAGCTGCTACAGACTTCTTTTTATAACCGCTTACGCTAGGCTGACGCGAAAGTCGACCGATACTCAAGGACTGCTGGTATTTCAATAACATCTCATCATCACTGTCTGATGATGATTCATCTTCATCGTAACCATAACTTCCTTCTATGAAAAAAAATTGAAAGAAATAAGCTGTGAAATTAGGCATCAATTAATTACTACCAAAGTTTTATATTGGATTCAATAAAAGGTACATCCACCACAGATCAACATTCTTTTTTATAAGAACACTTTTTTCTCCCTATCTAATATTACATATTATGGAATTAAGGAAAGAAACAGTTAATTAAACTAAAATAATAAAAATAATAATGTAGCTCAGTTCAATTTTATTTAACTACAGAGGCCCAGATCAATACAGGGTTGTTCTTCTCTGGAGCCATGCACAGTATAAAGTCATATGAATCATCTTAAATATGATAGCAGTCCAGAAATCTGAGACTGAAAAAGTTATATTTACATGAAGTAGGCCTAATTACTGAATAAAAAGATCATAAAAAAGTGGGCGCTTAGTTAAAATTATTATCAACGTTGATAAAGATAGCAGGAGCTTTCGAAATATCCGTTTGATTTTGTTATAGTTTAATAAATTTGTGTTCCGCAAGTCAACTTTCAATGATTGTACACCGTTTTTTCATGTCTCTTATACACATCTAGATGTGTATAAGAGACAGATATATATATATATAATTATTAAAAATTCAATAAAAGTAGTACATTAAAAAGTAATGTAATCAAACAAATTATTATAAGAAAAATAATGATACATCTGTATATCTACATGTTATCAAACAATCCTGAAACACTGCTGAATATGTTTACATATCTTACAAAATTGCTGAGCACTACATTTACAAAGTGCGCCACATACCTAAGCGTTGTTTCTTTTCTCTTGGCTTTTTCCCTTCCTCCATGCATGGGCACCCACCACAGTTTGAGAAGCATAGCGCTTTACTTAGGTACAAGAAAAACATGATGACCAGCAGTAGAAGAATGACCACTATGGTGAGGAACACAATAGCCTCATCAGGAACTAAAAATAAAAGAAATGGGAAGTAAAATCTCATAATACATTCTGAATTTGTTACTCAAATTTCACAAAGAATTAGCAATATTTAAATTAAGCAGCATTCACAATTTCAGTTTTCTTTTGGCTATAAATAATGAACTAAATATAGCAAAATTATAAACTTTGTTTATCTTCATTTACATGAAGATGAAAGCCACAATATTCCATTTATTCACTCTCTTTGGTTATTGGGTGAAAATGCCGTTTGTTTTTAGCCTGTTGGCTGTGGACACACTAAAGTTAAGTGCATACATCATGGTATAAAGGATACAAAAAGGTTTATTTTATTTTCCAAACATTGTAGATTCTGTATCTGAGAAAGTCGTGGATTGGATAAAAGAAGAAGATTGACCGTAGGAGTTAGGGAGAAGATGACTTTTGGGAAGCACGTACTACAACAAATACTCAAATCTATTAAAGAAAGTAAAACTAAGATAGAAACTAAGCAAAAAAAAAAAAACCAAAGAAAATGTATGAATCATACCATAAGTTTATAGAATAACACTCATATGATTAAAACTTAATACAGTACAACCGTACAGTACAAATTAGTACTGTACAATAGTTGCAGCTTCAATTTACTATTCACATTCATAAGCACGTACCACAACAAATACTCAAGTCTATTAAAAAAAGTAAGACTAACATAGAAATAAAACCAAAAAAGAAAAACAAATGTACGAATCATACCATAAGTTTATAGAATAACACTCATATGATTAAAACTTAATACAGTACAACTGTACAATACAACTTAGTACAGTAGTTGCAACTTACAATTTACTATTCACATTCATAAGCACGTACCACAAAAAAATACTCAAGTTTAATAAAAAAAAAAAGTAAGATTAACATAGAAATCAAACCAAAACAAAAAAACAAAAAAACAAAACAAATGTACGAATCATACCATAAGTTTATAGAATAACACTCATATGATTAAAACTTAATACAGTACAACTGTACAATACAACTTAGTACAGTAGTTGCAACTTCAATTTACTAATTCACATTCATAAATATAGTTGAAGTTCTATATGACTAAAATCAAGGATTGGCAAGCAATATCTTTCACACTATTAAAGAGAAGCAGCGGAAAACTGAAATATTTCCTCATAATTCCCATGACAAATCACTGTTGTTAACAGCCTACAATATCATACAAAATATAATAAAATTGAATTCGGACAGTCAATAGAAAACACTGCTTTAATGCTTTATTGTTGTACTGTACTACTACGGATTTTTTTTTTTTTTGTTGTTTCAAGAATTTATGACAATCAATATCAACCATTCCTATACTCCTATAAATTTATGGATTTTGTAACACATCTGTAAATCAGTGAACAATTTTTTTTATTTGTGTTTCTTTGGAAGTTATTCAATTTTTTTTTATTCTTCCACCTTTTGGGGTTTTTCCACATTTCAGCACAGATAATATAATAAGCATAATTAAATAGAAAGACTCACAGCGACTAATAATGGATATGAATTGTAACCTGAATGAATACCAAGAGTAATTATAGGTAGCTTGAATAAATGATTGAAAGGAAGGAATGGTTGATTTCTGCTTGGTTGTGATTAATTTTATTATACACAGTATGACGACCTGGTGGCAAGATGCTTGCCTTCCAATCCCAGGGTTCTCATGTTTAAACCCTTGTTATACTGCAAGTTTTTTTCTCACAACTAAAACCAGCTCCACTCTTTAAATCTCGTAAGGAGACTTAGCTTATGAAACACCATTCTATCATGTAATGAAAGAGTTATGTACTTGATACATTGAATGTGAAAGAAATTGATTAAAAAAAAAAAAACAAATATAAAAAGCTACAATCAGAGAACAAACGGACTTGAATGAATAAAAAATGCTCAGGTATAAAAAAAAAAAAAACAATTAAAAATATATTTTGTTAAACATTAATCATTAATTAACTTTTCATCCAAGCCAATAACAAAAAAAGAAGTATAAGCAATAGAGTACACTTAAAAATGGAAACACAAATAAATTTTAAAATACTTACGTGCAAAATCTATGAGATTGAAGCAGAGGCAAAAATAAATTCAAAATATTTTAGAATTATAATTTAAAAATATAATGTACTTAACCAAGCAGTTTGACCCATGACCCAATTAGCAATTTGAACCTTATTCGCGATTCATGGTAGTAAAAGGCCGTAATTAAGGTAACTTAAATTCAGCTTTAAATGTTGAAAATGTTGAAGGCAAAGTAGTGTGACAGTCCAAAGGCGAAAAACAGCGAAGAACGTCAAGGTTTAACATGCGTTCATGACACACATGCATATGGTTAGCCATCAGGGCCGTTATCTTCATAAAAAGCACCGTAATGACATTCATAAGCGCTGTAATGCCATTCATTTTCAACCAATCACAGGTTTAGGATGACGCCAACAGGGTCATAATGAAAGCGCAGTTAACGTGTTACAAAAAAAGCGCCGTGATCATAATAAAAGCGCTGTAATCATAATGAAAGCGCCGTAATCATAATGAAAGCACCGTAATCATAATAAAAGCGCCATCATGATATTCACTTTTAACCAATCACAGGCTTAGAATTACGCCAGCAGGGTCATCATGATTACGGCGTTAACTTCTTCGATAAAATCGCCGCTATGAGTAGCTGGCACAAGGGCCACACTATTGGCCAATCACATTCCTTCTTTCATGTTTGCAGAATTGAACGAACATGTGATGGATGATGGGGATTTTAGCCTGCGTGATGAGTAACTACCGGTAAATCCTTAGAATAGTCCTCTATCTAGCCTAGGCCTAGGGTAGGCCTGCCTACCCTAGCTAGGCCTAGAGTTACGTCAATCATTAAGTCATTAAAACATTATTATTATTATTATTAGGCCTATTATTATTATTATTATTATTATTTAAAAACATTAAAATCATTAAAACATTATTATTATTATTATTATTATTATTAAAAAACATTAAAATCATTAAAACATTATTATTATTATTATTATTATTATTTAAAAACATTAAAATCATTAAAACATTATTTTCATTAGGATTGAGAGGAAAAAATGTGGGTCTTCGTTTTTCTGATCTTCGGTATTCGTTTTGTAGACACCCATATAGGGTGTCATATAAAATGAAGACCCTTAAGTATTTCTTGATATTCCTCATTTTATTCCGATAAAATAATGAAACAGGTACTTGGCAACTGTTTTATGATGATTTTGAAATACTTTCAATAAGATAATTGAGAAATAATTGGAGGTCTTCATTTTTCGGGTCTTCGGTCTTCGTTTTGTAGACACCCATATAGGGTGTCTATAAAACGAAGACCTTTGAAAATTTCACAAACAGACGGCCAAAAAAAATTGTAATTTTGATTTTGTGACAGCCTGGTGTATTATCATCAAAATAAAATAGAAAATATAGGGGTCTTCGTTTTTGGGTCTTCGGTCTTTGGTCTTCATTTTATAGACACCCCTTGGCTAGGCCTATAAAACAGATAAATAAAAACCGTTAGAAATCAGTACATTAGACCCCTGCACTTGCACCTGGATGGTCTCGCTCCTCACTATGAAAGACGGAATGTGATTGGCTAAAAGTGTGACCCTTGCAGCAGCTACTCAAAGTGGCCTTTTTCTAATTTTGATAACGCCGCCGCCGCCGCTTTTATTGAACAAGTTAACGCCGTAATCAATTATGACCCTTATGGCATCATTCTAAGCCTGTGATTGGTTGTAAAATTAACAACGCTTTTTATATGATTACGGCGCTTTAATGTAACACGTTAACCTTTCATTATGACCCTGTTGGCGTCATTCTAATCCTGTAACTGGTTGAAAATGAATGGCATGACAGCGCTTTAATTATGATTACGGCATTTTTATTATGATTACAGCGCTTTCATTATGATTACGGCGCTTTTATTATGATCACGGCGCTTTTTTTGTAACAAGTTAACGGCGCTTTCATTATGACCCTGTTGGCGTCATCCTAAACCTGTGATTGGTTGTAAATGAATGGCATTACGGCGCTTTATATGAAGATAACGGCACTTTCATTATGATTACGGCGCTTTCATTATGGCCCTGATGGCTAACCATACACGCAAGTACATGGTACCTGCACTTTTAGGCGAGTCAAATGGGCAAATGGTTAAGCCAGCAGTACCATAAACTACAGTCATAAACATTTGCTGTGGGTTTGAGTGGAGGCTGGCTATGGTTCTAGTGGTGAAAAAAGCCTCCTTAAGGACTTTAAACCTTAGTCCAGTGAACAATGTACAATTGGCTCATGTGCACTATAAAGTACTGAGTACATCTTTAGACATGAGTAGGGAGGTTATACTGGTTCACACAGGCCCTGTGATGGATAATTGTGAATATCTGGCTCTGGTTTACTGGATCACTCCATCAGACAAAAAGCCACAATTGAAAACAAATTTAACTACTGACAGTGTACAGTATATTTCACAAGGAGTTATACCTCCTTGCATTTCATTACATAATGGACAAGCTTGAGGTTTACAATGACTTTGAAACCCATCTATGTGTACACTGGAAGACAATAATAATATGAATCTTTTTCCCCATGTCACTCTTGCCGTATCAGTATCACAGAAAACGAAAATTCCTCAACTCCAGAATGTTTCCTCAAAATCGCTAGCAAGAATTTACGATAGTGATCACATCTCCCTTTGAAAATTGTATTGTGATTTTGCTATTGATCAACTATAATCGTGTCCCCATTCAGTACTCTTGTACAATTACACATACTATATAATAGTACCATTACAGTATAAAATCTTAATAAGGCCATAAAAAAATTATATAGTTTATCACCCCCCTCCCTTATCACTTTTATGGAAATTCAGATATTTTTTTTTTTTTTTCAATCAACATATCCCTCCTCAATTTTGGGGAAATTATGGTGTTTTTCTTTTTCTCAACATATATTTTTTTATTACAAACGGCCGTTTTTCCATCTTTTTTCACTTGAAAAGCTCAGGATTTTTTGCAAATATGTTTATTGGTACAACAAAAACATATTTTTTTGAATATAAATTTGATTCCATTCTTATAACTTTTTTATATATATGTCCCTAACCATTAATTTACTTGTGAACATCGGTAAAATGGGGGCGAGGTTAGCAAAAAAAAAAAAAAACCCTCCCTCACTTATCAGTTTTTATTCTTTGATAGGGTGATAAACTATTTTTTTAAATTTTTTATGGGGCCTAATAAATTCAGGTTTTATTACTATCATACAATAACCATGGAGGTATTATTGAGAAGGAGATCACTCGAAAATACTACGCGCACGCAGCGCTATGCAAATGAACCAAGATCAAAGCAAACAAAGCACAAAGTCTGATGTGTTCCCCGCCATCAAATTTTCAGCAGGCTTAGTTTACCAAAAAATTGAACATGGCGAAATGGAGAGCACCTTCTTTTCTCGATGCGCACTACATACAGTCAGTCACTATGGCTGCGCAATCGTTTCCACAATAAAGCTAATACATTGATTTAAGAAATACCAAACATAATAATATTTTCTAAAACAAAAAGTTTCGAATTTAATGAAACATTTACATCAGCTTTAAAGGTATGATATATTTCATCTTGAATTTCCATAAATCGGATAAAACTCGATAATTCTAATTTTAAAAGATATTAATTAAGGAGTGATGGAGGATTATAATAAACTAAGTCATTTTAGGGTTAACAAGGGTTAACAATTAGAAAAATGAATCCAAAATCAGAGCAATTTTCATTTTTACGCTGCCTTAGCTTTATAGTCGAACCAATCGATATTTAGACAAAATTATATTGAACACAGAAGTAATTTTAACAGAAATATTTTAAGAAAACTTTTCCTGAAATATACAAATAAGAACATACTAAAAGTCCGAAAAAATCCAATCAGGGGAACATTGTTCATTATAAAGATATTAAATAGGTTAAAATCAAACGCTTTATTGCACAACTGCTCTGCTGAAGCGTAAAAACGCATACCGTTGCCAAGTTGTTGCTAACGAAAAAATGTGAATTATGGGGTAATACGCCCACGCGCGATCCAAAAGCGGGGAACAGATTGGTTTGTCGCATCAAAGGGATCTGTTGCCGAGTGATCTCCTTCTCAATAATACCTCCATGTAATAACTAAAAACTAACTTGTTCCTACTAAATAATACTAGTTATTTCAAGAAAGAGTTAAGTCCTGTCCAAGACTATAAAATTTTACTAGACAAACTCATGTGACTTGCCATGGTTATAATGACCATATTATAGGCTCATCATGACTATGGGCATACAACAGTTTTTTCATGTCAAAGAAAATTGCAAAGAGAAGAAAGACTAAAGTGTTCACACTGGCATCCTTTATGTGTGTCTGTCTATTTTAATGTTGAAATTTTATTAACAATTAAAAATTTACATGAAAAACATGTGGCACAAATTATCTGTTTTGCTGTATCCAATTTTGTTCAAACATTTACACTTGATCTCTTTCTGTTATTTTGAAGTGCATGTAGGCCTATGCTATATAGCACTAAAGTTTACATCCACTAATCTGGATTACTGTAAGTACAAGGATTGTATTTATATTGATTCATACTAATCATCTAATAAATAACTTAACAAAAAAAAGATTTTGCCATCACTTAGCAACAAAGCCTTAATTTACAGTGTAAACAGCATTGGAATCCCCTGGCAGGGAAGAAGTCAACTATTTTGTTGGGAACACTGCTTTAGAAAAGCATTTCTACATCCTATAATAGTGTCATTTCCAGGAATTTAGACTCGTTCTTTTATATTGCTCCAATACAGGTGGTAGGTGCTAAAAGTAAATTTG